TATACTTTTTTTGTTTGGTCCCTTTTACGTCGAACGAAGCGACGGATTGATGTGATTTTTTGTATGGAAAAAGTTAAAAAGTTGGAATGTCATAGGCCTTTTTTGCCGGAAAATATCAAATTCCCATGGAAAAATACGACATAAACCGGTAATGTAATTAAGAAAGCGTTTATAATAATAAATAAATATAAATATGTTCTCTGATATCTATCTAATAAATCTAATCTGGCAGTGGTAGCCCAGTGGTAATGCGCTTGTTTGGGAAACTGAGTGAAGCGGGTTCAAATCCCGGGTCTCGCACCTCTGATATTTTCATGTGCGAATCATTTCTAAGATGATTACCACTTGCATACGGTGAAGGAAAAACATCGTGAGGAAACCTGCATGTCTGAGAGAACCTAGCAAGTTTTCAAAAGACATGTGAAGTCCGCCAACCCGCACTTGGCCAGCGTGGTGGACTATGGCCTGATCCCCCTCGTATTGAAGGGAGGCCCGTGCCCAGCAGTGGGACGTTAAAAAAGGCCTGAATACTCGATAAATATGTTGGGAAATTAATACAGCACCATCTAGTTCCATGGTAAGCTACGAGGCTTGTGTTATGGATACCAGATAGTTGATACACTAATACTACGCATATATAACTTTAAATACATATAACATACAATATATTATAAATATAAACACCCATGACTAGAGTACAAACATTCGTGCTCATTACACAAATGAATGCCCCGAGCGGGATTCCAACCTGCGACCGCTGGCGCAGGAAGTAGGGTCACTACACACTGAGCTAAACGTGTTATGCTTCCTTCGAATGAGAAACTACTTATTAACATTAACATTTCCACAAATACAGATATAAATTGCTTTATAATATTATATTACTTATATTACTTTTAAGCTCGACACAGCTGTTAAAATTCAAGCGATAACGTTTAGCATAAATCTTTAATGAACAGCTTTAGCTTCTAAAGTACTTACTTTTTTTCGATTTTCAATTAATAGAAGTTTACCGTTTAAAAAGTTTATAGGGCACTTTATTTAACGCTAGAACACTGCTAATGTAGATGATGATAGAATTATGGTTTATTTAACGACACGTTTGGCTCAGTTTGTAATGACCCTACTTGCTGCGCCAGCGGTCGCGGGTTCGAGTCCCGCTGGAGGGCATTCATTTGTGTGATGAGCACGAATGTTTGTACTCCAGTCATGGATGTTTATATTTATAATGTGTATGTATTTAAAAAAAAAGTTATATATGTATAATGTATCAATAGGACGCCTCCAATCGGAGTGCGCAGGTGATAGTGATACATTATATCAACTATCTGGTATCCATAACACAAGCCTCGTAGCTTTAAAGTTATAAATATAAATATTTTATGGATTTGAATCTTTGAAGTAACAATGTCTGCCACACAGCATTTAATTTATTTAACTGTCCATTCCTGCAGAATATGCAAGGGTATAGTAAAAGAGTATTCTTGATAGAAGTTCAAATATTTTTATATTATGGAAACAGCAAGCCTCCATCGTTTTTTTTTTCAAAGTAGCAGGAAATGAAGAAACTAAAGTGTGGATAGAGGACCAATATAAATAAAAAAATATGAGAAAAATGGTGCCATTAAATATCAAGTTTGCAAGATATTTTGTAGAACGAGAACTGTGGAATCTATTGCTTTAATAAAACTAAAGCATATTATATATTACTAGATGTATTAATATGTAATTAGATCTTTATCTACAAATATTTCAGGAACGAAGTACTTAAAAAATGTAAGCAGTATGCTAATGTTGCTTACTTTTTTTCACTAAGCGTCCATCTTTATATACCAGTTTCATTGAACATCGCAATTGTAGTAAAATAAAAAAAATGGCGGGATATTGGCAATGCACAAATATTCTATTCCTTTCCATCTAGTTAAGTAAGAATAAAAAGCGAATTTCTTATTTTTTTAACGATATGTATAGTTCCAGACTTTGCAGGATTTTTAGTGTAACCGAGTTTTCCCGCAGTTACACTTATGTTGAACGTCGATAAAAATTAACCTATATCATCCCTTATTACATATTCATAACAATGTTCACAATGCTTTACAACAATCATGGTCACGGGAGAGACTTTCCGAAACGGCGGGAACCAAAAATCAAAATAAATCCACAAAGAAATCCAAAAATAGAGTAGATAAAAAATCGAATATTCGCGTATATTTAAGTAAGTATTATAGCAATTTTCATTCAACTCTGGCCGCTAGAGCATGAATATATATAATAATAAATAACTAAGTCACTGACAACTGTAACCCATCTTTAACCGACTTCCAAAAAAGAGGGGGTTCTCAATTCGTCGGAATCTTTTTTTTATGTATGTTTACCGATTACTCGAAAACGCCTGATCCGATTTGGATTTTTTTGTAGACTTCAAAAATATCTGATTAGGTATCTATTATAAATGAAAACCCCCGATTAGTTATTTTTTACATTTTAGTGCCAGGAAGTCGGTATTTTTTTGAAAAAGCTTTTAATTTAAAGTTTTTATAATATAAGTGTGATATAACATATCGATTTATATAAGTGAGTATACAATCGAAAAAGATTACTATAATATGAAATAAGAACAAGCTCAAGTTCGATTTCAACAAAATCCTTATACTCTCAGCAGGATTCCGGTTACGCGATTACAATCACTTTACCCGCTTCCTTTATTTTCCAATGAAATAAAAATATTTTCCTTTTTATGTATCCTAACTAGGTTATACAACAATAAAACACCCTATTCTCAATTTTGTTAGATTTAAGGTCCAGTTACTTATAATATTGTGGCTATAAACCATGTTTACTAATATGGAGAGTTCTTAACTTTTGTACAGATTTTATAATATAATAATAATTTGTTATTTAAAACATTAAAATTTAAATATTATGAGTATAGTATTAATAACAATATATTATGTAGAATTATAAGCAACAGGAACCTTGACTTTTATATATATATACAAATATTAGTATAATATTATAAAGAGGAAAAGTTTGTGAGTTTGTGACGTTGTAGGAGGTAATCTCTGGATCTACTGAACCGATTTGGATCAAATTTGATAAGAAGATAGTTTGAGACCCAGGAAAGGAGATAGAATACTTTTTATCCCGGAAATCATCCCGTAAGAGGGTGAAAATGGGGATTATAGTTCGTATGGGGAATCAAGCTAGGGACGAACCCGAGCGAATCAAGGGTGAGTCGCTAGTTTAAAATTAAAGAGACACAAATATATAAAATTAAATATTTTGTTTGTTTATTTGTTTTATCACGCTAATCTCTGGAATTTCCAGTCCAATTTGAAATTTGTTTTGCATCTTATAGATTATTTTAGAGGGATGGTTGTACGCTATGTAAAACGTTATCATTATTAGGGCAGATGTAGGAAGAAGGAATAAAGTATGCGAGAAACGCCTATAAATGTGGAACTTTTAGTTCGATTTGAAGAAATCTTTTTCTTTTTAAAATACTACTTGTAACTATATAGTTAAATCTTGAAACTTGAGTCGTATCGTCCTGAAACTTAAGAAGATAGAGCCTACAGATGGATAGAGGAATTTTTTACTACTGGCTATGTGAAAGTTCAAATTTTGATGAATTCTGTACGTTACAGGTGGTCAGGTTGTTTATTGGGTTTCTTAAAACTGATAGTTATTTATGAGTAAAAGTTATGTATTATTTTTGTGTGACATGACACTAAGTAACTTTGAGAATGAATAGAACAACTTAAAATTTTAGCGTGGTTCATCGTTTTTATTAATAACTAGCGACTCACCATCACTTCGCGTGGGTTCGTTTCTAGCTTGCTTCCTAATTCAAACTTTCATCCCCATTTTCAACGCCTTAAGGGATGGTTTCTGGGATAAAAAGTATCCAATGTCCTTTCCAGGGTCTGAAACTATCTTCTTACCAAATTTCATCTAAATCGGTTCAGTAAATCCAGAGATTACGCCCTACGAACTTTACCTCTTTATTATATTATATTAATGATGAGAAAAGATTGCTAATAAAATACGCCAATTAAAAATAACTAACCCACTAAAAATTTTCTTAAAATTTATATAGGAGTATAGTTTATTAGAGTGTATAATAAATGTTATTATATATGAGTATTATGTAGGTTATTAGAGTGTTCTAATGAAAATTTTGGTAAAAAATTAAATATACACTCGACTTGAGTACTTCCTAAATGAATTATTAGGCCCCATCCACACTACAGTGATCACAAAAATGTTCATGAAATGATACGACGGGAACTTGACTCTCACTGATAGTGTAAATGTACTCAATTGTTTTTTGTATAAAATTACTTTACTAAACCGATGTCGGGCCGAGAACGAACCGCGATGGACGGTATAGTGTAAATCAGGCCTTATAGTAACGAATTATAGAGAAAATTGTCAAAGTTTATGTCATGTCAAATAAGGTTGTTATTTTTGATAGCTCTAATATAATGCTACATAATAAAAGTATTTAATATGAATACGCACTTTATTGGGTTTTTATTTTCAAGCGGCGTAATATAAAACTGCTTTAAAAGAAAGATGTATTGACGAAGCGTCTTATAATATTCTTTCATGGTTTTTAGAGTTAGAAATATTTTCAGCTTATAAGGCTTAGTTTAATTTTAGTTACGTAGACTAATATTATGTGTATAATTTAAAAGGTAATATTATTAAAATATGTTAGGACATTAACACACAGCACCATCTAGTTCCATGGTAAGCTACGAGGCCTGTGTTATGAATACCAGATATTTGATACACTACATATATATAATTTTAAATACGTACATATTATAAATATAAACACCCATGACTGAAGTACAAACATTCGTACTCATCACACAAATGAATGCCTCCAGCGGGACTCGAACCCGCGACCGCTGGCACAGCAAGCAGGGTTACTACAAACTGAGCCAAACGAGCTGTCAGATTATTGTTACGTTAAAGTATTTTCGACTTACCTGAGGATCATTTTTCAGTCGATTTTCATAATCCTTGCTTGCGTTTACAGATCTCTTACTTAAATGTGGATGTGAAAATAAATAAAAATGCTTCAGGTCCCCAATCTGTAACAAAAGTATTTAATTTTGAATTAAAATTATATTAACTTCGTAACATACTAGCGGCTCACTCTAGCTTCACTCGAGTTCGCCTCTAGAAAAACAAAACCAAATTTATCCCACAGGAATTATTAATTAAAAAGAAATTTAGAGAATTTAAATTCCGACGCAAAGCAAATCTAATATATTTCGATACGTAAAATACATTTTATCTATTAGATATTTATATCTTAAAATATTGTCGGCTGGCACCGACTTCGAAAATATCTGATTAGGTCTATTCTAAATGAAAACCCCCGCTTAGTTATTTTTTACATTTTAGTGCCTGGAAGTCGGTTTTTTATAAGTTTTTATTTTTCCATTTTTAGGGCAGACGTAATAAGTAAGTAATTTTTAAGGAGAATTTTTTTTTAATAATATATTCAATTAAGCAATTTATTTAAAAAATAATTTATTGTTGATTTTTTTTTAAAACCGCTCGACCGAAACTTGAAATTTATATGGGACCACCTGGGAAGTACACCCTAACCCTTTGGAAAAAAAAACCAAATTGGTTCAGGCGTCTTCGAGTAATCGGTGAACATACATAAAAAAACCGACGAATTGAGAACCTGCTTCTTTTTGGAAGTTGGTTAAAAATTATTAGTGGGCATACTGTTTGACTAGCGATATTGTTAAGCCAAAGTTCACAAATAAAAAACACAAATTTAGTGTAGGTTTAACATGACTTAGATAAAAAACTTATGTTTTAAAATAAATATTAAAGAAAATATTATATTAATAGGTACTGTAATAAAGTATACCATTATGTACCTCATTTAGCCATTTTATTTGATTTTTTAATAAAATTTGCCATATAAGTATCACACAAAGCCGCCATATCTAAATACTTACGTATATCACTAAAAACAAACTACTACAAACTCATTAGCCCAACCTATAATGACTGTGTCGACCTAAATTAAGTTAGACCTCAAAATAAAACCTAAAAATGGAACCCTAGCATACCTTTTTACGTATATACAAATATCCGTAACCTATATAAGTACTCGTATCTAATTACCAAAAAAAAAGCTCTATATAAAAATATCTTTGAACCAGGTAGGCTTATAAAAAATGGTGCTACTATATTTTGTGTAATTACCGCGTAAAAGCTTACTTAATATCGTAGCCATTTATCTTGTTTTAGACGTTTTAATTCAAACTGTATGTAGTAAACAGGCTCTGCTTGGCACGGATGGCAAGGTTCAAAACATTTTTGGCTCGAATATACATTCAACATGAACTAACGTTGCAAGTTTGGCGAAATTGTCTAAATTGCGAATTGCAATCAAGGGGCAAAGCGATTTGTCAAAATATTCGAAAAAAAAAGCTCTTTAAATTCCGTTGAGTGCAAAATTTTTTATTTGGCTTCAATCTGCTAGAAGATTATTCGAGATTCTTTTAAATTCTGTTTATATGGGTACTCTATAGTACCTAAAGCATTTAAAATGTTATATAAACATAAATAAAGGTAAATTACTTGGCCATATATTACATAACTACATTTACAAGCAATAGATATATTCTACTGTAAAAGTACCTAACTTTGTATCAAAATAAAAAGAAAGCCATCGCCCAACACTCTGAATTGTAATTGTTGGCTAAATGTATGTATGTATGTATGTATTTAGCCCTTTTTGGCATCCCGCTGGTGGGCACGGGCCTTCCTTTCATATGAGCGAGGATCAGGCCATAGTCCACCATGCTGACCAAGTGCGGGTTGGCAGACTGACAGACATGTCTTTCGAAAACTTGCTAGGTTCTCTCAAATATGCTGATTTCCTCACAATGTTTTCCTTCACCGTAAGAAATCATGAAAATATCAGAGGTGTGAGGTCCGGGATTTCAACCCGCTTCCCTCGGTTTGGCGTGGCGAGCACGTTACCACTAGGCTACCACTGCCTATGCTTGTTAAATTGCCTCTATAAGGATCGTAATAAATACCTAATGTTCCTGAGCTAAGCAAGTTCAAACAAACTATTCATCTTTATAATTTAACCATACATTTATTGGTTAAAAAGAATAAAAGTTACTTTACCTATAAGTTAGCTTTACCAAAATCAACTTTTTACAATTTGTAATAATAAAAAATAAAATACACCACAATATGTCAAATTTATTGATTTATAAGTTAGAAAACACATAAAACATCAAATAGAACAGAGTTTCAGTCGCAATCGATGTAAGATGAGGAAAGATGGAAAAGGGCGGAATCCGTCCAACAAGGGAGAGTATTAAATATTTACATTTGGGCTAAAGTGGACGCTTCGGGTTGTTACGAGAGATTATACTTTTTGTTCATTTGTAAAACAAATGTTTTAACTTGGAGAAATAAGAACAAAAAAGATTGAATTATAAAATTTTTATCCACTATTTGCATAGTATTAGAACAGGGTTGGTGATAACCCATTTCTTTAACTAATATTTCAACGTTTTAACTATCTTTCTTTGTTGTATAGGTTTTATGGAATAAATTAACTAAATATTGTGTTGCCATACTTTTATCACAGATCATATAATACTATACTTGTACTTTTATCTATATTCTTCTAAAACTATTTTTTTCACTATAATAACTACTTATAATAATTTTTGAGACGTCTAAAGCGATTCGAAAGGTGAGGAACTAAAAATCTAAAAAATCTGCAGAAAAAAACCAATTCGATTGTTATTCATAATGGAGATTTTTATTCATATGGGAAAATGAAATTATTATATAAGACATTCTATAACGGTCTTTGTCTTAACCAGATTTGCAAAAAGCACTCATTTTGTGATGATATCTAAAATATTTGAACCACATGTCATAGTCTATTTGTGTTATGTATAACTCATCTGGGTTTTACTTTAGTGTTTGTACTATCTACAAATAATTATTCACGTCTGTATAAAATAACTTTTTAATACAGAAAAATTATTACAAAAATTAAATACCTACCTAGTATATAGAAAACTTAATCTTTTAACTTATAAAACAATTTTTAGAACCAAACACAATTTTTCAACAAGCTACCTCCTATTATGGTCCAAAATATGCAGGTTTTTAATTCTAGAACAGATGGATGGACAGACAAACAACATAGCTTAATAATTTAATCCTAACCTGACCCTCTAACAACCCAACAACCCAACCCTCTAAACGAGTATCATGTCTAAACAGTCCTTTATTTACTTGACATTTTACACAGCTGACATTCCTGAAACCGACAAACCAAAAAATTTATAAAATTAAACGCTTTGTTGAAAGTATCATAGAAAAATTATAATTTTTATATGATTTTATTAGCATTATTATAAGCAATTAATAAAATTGGTGAATAAAAAGTATATCATTTGAAATCTACTCAATTCAATTAGAAAGTAATTACTGATAACATTTATTACAAAACGTATAAGTGTTATGCCCTTAACGTGTTACAGAGGTCAGATGGCAATCAGTTCGTGTTAACCTGACAATTACGTTTTACGTAATCTAAATTACAAGTAATAAAACAGTACGAGGTTTGGAGGCGCTCCAATAAAATTCAATAAACAATGTAATTTATTATGTTATTTGATTTGATTTTTGCATTTATTTGACGTTACGTTTGGCTCAGTTTGTAGTGACCCTACTTGCTGTGCCAGCGTCCGTGGGTTTGAGTCCCGCTGGGGGCATTCATTTGTGTGATGAGCACGAATGTTTGTACTCTAGTCGTGGGTTATATTTATTGGTACATGGGTCATATTTATAATATGTAAGTATTTAATATGTGTAGTGTATCAACTATCTGGTATCCTTAACACAAGCCTCGTAACGCACATTATTTACTTATTTTTATTTATATTATTCCATCCTGCGAGTGAATGTATATAGATAGAGATTGAAATAACTTTTCCAGTTAGTTAGTAAGTCAGCAAAAATCTTTTTAGTTCTTTTCTTATTACCCGACTGCGGTGAAGCCCAATCGAGGACTATGTGTTTGACCTATATGTATGTATGTCCGAGCCTATGTACCCTCGTAATTACTAAACGGCTTAACCGATTTTAATGATTCATACGTCGCTAGATTCGAATTTATATGGCGCTAATCTAAAAGTTTAGCGAATCTAGTAATTATGACATTTTTGTCACACTGCCATTCATTATAAATGCAAAAGTTTGTATGTGTATATATTTGTTACTCCTCTATGCTGAATTAGACAGATTCTGCCAGAAATTTGTACACAGAATAAAGAATATGAAGTGGAGTAACACAGACTGTGTAATGTATAATACAAATTTCCAAAACGTTTCGCTACTTATGTGTATATACATAAGTTTGGTATGTTCCCTATGAACTCTAAAACGGCTGGAGAGATGTTGATGAAATTTTCAGGCAATCTTCAGCTTAACCTAGCGGGTGATTCTGTGAAGTTTGGTAGTGATCAGAAGTTTGAACGCGGGTTCTGCTAGTAATGTTATAAATACAAAAGGCATCCAGGGACGTATCCGAGCGAAGCAAGGGTAAGTTGCTAGTTTACTTTTAGATTTTAAGAAAGTTTTATAATTATAAGAAAGAAAGTTATGACTAATAGTCTTAGATGTTACAAAAATAACTTATTATCAATTTTCTTTGTTCGATTTTTTCCTATTTTTATCAAATATCATTTCCATTATACTTATAAATTTTATTCTCTTTGGTCAAACACTGCGGCCCTTTATTCTAGTACCTGCTTGTCACCAGTTTTGATATACTTTTATTGAATAGCTGTAACAAATTGTCTGTTATATGCAAAAAAATACTTGCGTTATACAAGAACCGAATCCTGTACCCATTGTAGCAATATAGGAAATCGTTAAGTATTTCGATTTCTAATGTAAAATAAACGATCGACGATGACGGACGTTATTGTATGCCCTAATTTCCATACTATTTCAGTGGCAAAAACGAAAATTATAGTAATTTAAATAAAGACCTACGATTGTTAGAAATAAACAAAATGTT